TAAACATTTATAGTAAAAACATCAAAATCTCTGCAAAATTGCACGAAAACGTAGATCCACTACAAGGTCTAGTCCCAAAATCGGCATTGCTTGAACGGCGGCACTAAAATTGCAAAAATAATCAAAGTACTTCAACCGTTACTTTATTACTGCGATTTTGCCTTGTTTGGGCAAGTCATTGAATGCGTTTGTGATAAGTGCAGGCTTTACACCATTCTAGCCAGAGCTATCAGACGTTCTGAAAATTGGTTTTATTATACGCGGATAGAAATTGAATTCTTTCTCCAAGAGCTTGAACTTCAACATACGTCAACTTGTACCACTACACGGTGTCCACCCACGGTTCACGAGGAGTTTTCCACCGGTTTTTACATTACACCCTATTGTTCTTTTTGATACATCGTTCGTGTAGACTGAATTTTTGACAGAAGAAAACGCAGATATAGTTAAAGTTGCAGTAGAAAATAAAAACTATATTCAAAATTCTTATCTTTTAAAAAATCTCAGCACGAGCAAAGCAAACAATTTGAAGTTTTGTCAAATTTTATGGGTTCAGAAAGACGATCACGTCTGTCAATTAACACGTAATACTAAAATGCTTCTTAAAAAAATTCACAAGACACGTACTACAAAATGTAAAAAATTTTTCGTGTAGTTTTTTTAGACAAATGGTTTACACTGAGAAAGAAGGTCAAATTTGAAACAATAGCGACTTCTCTTTACCGTATTTTAATAGTTCTTTGGTCGCAAAGCAGATTAGAGGTCAACTCAGTTTAGCCTGAAAATAAAAACTAGCAGATATATTGCAAACTGGAAGTTACATGAAAATGGTTGAAGGGGAAGCACAGTGGTCTCACTGACATCCTCGTAGTGTTTGACAACCAAATTTCTAGTTGGAAATTTTGGACATGACGCGATATAACTCGGCATGTCTTTAATGAAATAGATCACTGAACCTAACGTCAGCCATTCATGGTACCCCAAGTTAGAAAAACAAGTAGCAAACCGAATGTCGAGTGTTTTATCACAGTAGTTATTAATAAATTGAAAAAAAATGAATCTTTTACAAGAACAAACGGCTGATGTATACAAATGCCTTAATTTTTAATCACATATTTTGAAAGAAACCTATACTGACGACAAGATGACAATTTCATTATTAGACAACGTTTTAAAAAATGAAAACTGTTACCCTTGTTCCTGTAGTGAGTCAGATAAGAAATGAAAGACTGCACACAAATGAGTTTTGATCACCCATCACCGCAGTAGGAAGTTTATTGGGAACATTGTTGTCACCGACTTTGCTATGGAATGGATATTTAAATATTCACCGAAACCACTATTGTTAAGTAATAGCAGAGGGTTTTGGTCAGTAATATGGCTACTACTTATATACTACATTAGCTAGCGTTAACGAAACTCAGAAGGATTTAAGTATATATTTAAAGAGAAAATTTGTGTTGGCGATTTATGACTCTCAAACTATGCAAAAAAAATCAGCTTTCAAAACCTTTTCTGGACATGAGTTTAATTGGCGAAAAGTACACTGAACGTTCTGCTATTTTTCATATTCCATAAATTTTGTAGTCTGTGCTTCCTATAAGTAATTTTCAGTTCTTTCACAGCAAACTTTTGTTGATTTTAAGAGATGACAACTGTTTACAATTCAAGTTTTAGGTGCGCATTGGTAAAATTTACCCTTTCATGATTATTAAAAGAGGTTTGAGAATGCAAACAAAACGAAATGCGTGAGTTTAAAAACCATTTGAAGAAACAGTGCGCTAAGTAAATGGGTTAACCTTTGCAAAATATTTCTATAATTGTGTCGCTAGTTGGCTGATTTTGACATTTCGAATTCTTATGCTTATCACTTAGTTTAGCAAGAAGTCAATATATTAAAACGACACAAAGTTATTTCTGTTATTTAGTACAGGTTTACACTTTACTGTTATAATATGCCAAGTGTAAGTGTAGAAAAGAAGAGAACAAGGAAATAAAGCAAAAAGAAAACCTGTCTGAGCGTCGTTTTTTGTTCTAGTTCAGTATATTTTTTGCTTCTAGCTGCTAATATAACTTTTTTAAAACACACTCTTGCTCTTAATTCAATCAAGTCATTTTTTTCAGATTGATAACTAAGAAAACTGAACAGGACGTTACCTTTTAGCTGGGAAGGCAAAGGCGTGAAACAGTGAGAAACAGATGAGCGGCAAAGAAAGACGAATTGTAGAGGAAAGTAAAAGCAAAGGATCATACAGTTTTGGCAAATCAGCACTTTACGGAGCTTTACAGCGGTCCCGTTTTTGTTTGCCATTGCCCTCTTTTTTTTTGTCACCCTCTCTTCTACTCATCCGACTCACTTAATTTAGCATCTCACAAGCGGTAAACAGTTAGCACATTTAAAACTCGGTCTAAGAAGTAATCTAATGTAAGCGAATTGTACAAAAACATAGTAACAGAGCTCGGAAAAATTAAAAATTTTTTGTTGGCGATAGTTTTGTTATCCTTTGATTACGTCTGAAGCATTTCGGTTTTTTTTTTTGCAGCAACTGTTTACAGTTCAACAAAATATGACTCAGTTTGAAAAGACATCTTTATTTTGTTAGTTGTCAGTGTTTCAGGTTGTTCATTACGCAATTTTTTCTCTTTTCAGTTTCTATATTGAGCATCTCATCTAAATATTATGTTATCACTTTATTACTTGTATTTTATATAAATTTTTTCAAATTAAAAATACTCAATACAGTTTTACTACTGAGGTAGATATATTAACGACCACCAATATTCAGTTGATTCTTCAGGTTAGAGGATGATGACTTATATATGAAATCAATTAACAGTTAAAGAATAATAACAGCCTCAGGTTTTGTTGATCTTCCTAAACGCAATACAGTTTAGCCTCACAAACTACAACAGGCCAGAAAAGCCCCTTTAAGATAGAAATACACCACGATAAATTTGGTTCATGACCTATTAGTTGGCAGAGTTTATCCATTATGTGTTTATATTACAAACTTTTACGGGACAGAAGGTTGAAAGAAAGAGAATCGACGACGATTATGATAACCTTTTGTTGTTCGAACAAGTTTTTTAATTCTACATGAGTACATCAATATTTATTTAGTCTCCTTCTAATCTTTCTTGTTGCTCTGTTATTTCTGCGATTACAAATAATATACCTCTTCATCGTTACAAAACTTTAACTATGTTCTTCAATTTAGACGTCTGTTTTCTTCTTGGAAAAGGCTAGAAGAACCCTAACCACTTAAGAGGAATAACTTGCACATATTTAACATTTATCAAGCTGCGGTGCACTACCATGAAGGCTTCCTGGGCTCCATTAACAGCAGAAAATCATTTACCATTTTTATATCAGGCAAAAAATCGATCAAAATCAGAGGTATAAAAGTGAACTTTTAATTCTGAATGTCTGACTTAATTGCTTCGTGCGGGGTTTAATATAAGCAGTCCAGAAAGCTCTCCCTGAGGTATGATAACACTCTGAAAATGACTTAGCTGTTACTCATCTGCAATACACCAGTTTTTTAGGTTGCTTCTTAACTAATTTATTTCAATGTAAAGCTTTTAACCTATACGATATGACGTTGACAGAAACTCTTAAGCAGTATGACTGGCAAACTTTTGCTGTATTTGAAACCTTAACCGAGGTCTGTCAAAGAAAAAATAAAGATAAAAAAATTTTTTCACTCTCCAAAAATAAATATATAAATACTCACTTTCCAAGTGAATTATTTCTTTTCATGGCTCTTGTATAGGAACCATGACAAAAGCAACGTTCTTAGAAGTTCTGAGCTTGTTATCATTACCACCGTCCTTTCATCAATACTTGTAGTGCGTAACTTCGTCTAGTACCGGCATAAAGTAAACTTCATCAATATTATTTTGTGCACTGCTTTCAAATATTGTAATGCTATTTTTTTATTTTTTTCTTACAGCTGTGACATCGAAAATGCCATGAGCACCTTTCAGAGAAGTTCTTTAGGAATTCTCAACTGGTCTAACAAGAGACTCAAAATACGTAATGATGCTCTTTGCTCGGGTATGTTTGGTCAGCACTGTTGCAATATCTCTGAAAGCATTAAAATGTCTGAAATGCTTGAAAGACAAAAGTGGCGATGGAGGAAGTTTTTGTGGAGAAAAGGATCTCTGTGAAGGTACTAATGTTAATTGACAAGTACATTCTTGTAGAAAAAAGCAGTATTTGGTAGACTTTACAACTCAAGCCATTTTAAATCGGTGTCTCCAGAAAGCACTGCACCACAAAGAAATATCTTTTAGGTCAATGGTGCACTCAAGTTAGAAAGTTTAATCAAATTGTGCTGAACTGTTCCGACCGAAATCCACTGGGGAACTTCGATTCAGAGAGGGTTGAAGTGTGTCAAATCAAGGATACTGGTGTAGAGTTCTTCAGCACTTTTTGTTACTGTAACAGTCATGATTACTGCAATGGAAGCTCTTCCATATCTTCGCCTTTTTTATTGCTCATCAACTCGATAGTACTCGTTGCAAATGTGCTTATGTACTTAACGGAAGTAATCAATTTTTAATATTCTTGTTGGACGATCAACACAACGTCATATAACAAACAATTAAGAAACGGCTCATGTACGCGTCCGGAGGAGATACGTACAGAAAACAGACACCGATACGTGACATATGATAGCGCAGATAAAAGATTTCAGTTGTTGGCAAAAATTTATTGATATCCTTCAAAGTTTTTAGATACATCCTAAAATTCTTCCGTTTTATGACTTCATCTTCCTATGTAAATTAAGGAATTGAGCAGTGTCGAAAAAGCTCTAATTTGAGGTTCTTCTAAATGGTTTGGTCCTCAAATAATTTTATCTTTTTCAAAAACCAGACTTGTACAGCAAATTTAAAAAAAAATAACAATGCACTAAACACCAAAAGCAATACAAATGTGAAATAGGGATCTTTTACTTCGAATAGCAAAAGGTTTCTGCCTGAAGGAAGTCAGTCACTTATGACCCTGGGTTTGTTTGTAAGTTCTTCCCCATAGATTCCAAAGCCTTTCCTAAACTGCTACGTGTCGTAATGAAAAATTATGGCAATTTTCTCCTTCAGAGAGCAAGTATAGTTTGATACCATTCAGTGTTGAGAATCAACATGAAATAAAAGTGCTCACTCATCACTTAAACCTAGTTCTTGCACATAAGACTACACATAGGACTAACCTGCAGTATTTGCAGCACCACTAGCTGCATTGTAAACACCTTCTCTGACGTTATTTGCCGCGTTGCTTAGACCACTTCCTACGTTATGCGCTGCCATACCTGTAATACAATCTTCGAAAAAAGAAAAATGGAGCTTCCTTCAGTGACCCATGTCTTATTTGGTAAAAACTGAACAAGAACTGCTAGAGCTGCAATATCCTCACTGCCGGTTACTTGGCAGCACGATATCGTCAATAGTCCCCAAGCTACATACATCCTAAATATGTTGAATAGTACCACCAAATCTGCTTTCCTGCTGCATTTCCTCTTTTCCCGCAAGCTACATTTCTTAATCAGTGTAACAACAAACCTATAAGCCTATATGGTTATCTCACCAAAAATCCGTTGTTTCATGATCCTAAGAAGCTGCAGCTGCAGCCGGCACCAAGCGAACGACCTATTCGCAGGGATATGGACGTAAATAATATTGGAAATTCAGCATGTAAAAAACAAAAAAAATGCATGAGCATTTTCATACCAACTGCTTCTCCAGCACTGTAGACAGCATTTTTAGCTCCTTCGCCAACATTAGCTGTAATGGAGCAGATTGAACTTTTAACAGCAAAGACTGACCAGTTGAAGAAAATACTGACCTTGCTAAACTTTAAAAAAAAGATATACCGGCAGTTTCGTACGCTCCTCGTACTTTGTTTTCGAGACCTTCTTTTATACCACTGACTGTTTCGGCTGTTAAAAGAAAGCTGTCAATACCTTCACATACAAGCAGGTTTTAAGGCAATTACTAAACTTCCTGAATTCTACGAGCCAACGTCGTTGAAATACTTATATTTAAAACTGCATCTAGCCTGCACCCTAATTTTTCTTATTTTTGAAAATATTTTTTTCAAAAATTTCCATTCATAAATACTTGAAAGTACGAAGCCGTAAGCGAAACCCGATTTCCCCGCCACTTCAAAAACTGAACCTTACACAAAAGGGTTATTAAAATAAACAGATTTGCAATAAATCTTACTTCTTTACTTCGATAAAATTTTTCCAACCGATAATCCACATAAAAATGGTAATAAACAATCATTTTCTATAACTAGACTGTTTATTAAAAAAATCTTGTAACTAGTGAAAAAAAAAACGTGCAAGCCAAAACTGAACTTTTGCTTTACAGTTAACACTCTAAGTTTCTTGAAACTCAAACGTCAGAACCCGTACCCACAGAATTGCCAATAATGACTACCACAATCCTCCAATAATGTGTTAATAAAATTTTACTCCCTAAAAAAAAACATGTTTTTGCCAAACATCCGCCATAAACCAGTTACCTATTATCATTCATCCTAAATTAACACACATCATTTTTTAAAAATCATCATGAAATTCAAAATTATATGCTAAATAAGGGAGCAATAAGCAAATAATTAAGCGTTCTGAAAGCCAGCCTAATTGCACTATCAAACAGTATCGCAGGCCAAAACCATTCATCATACCTCAGGCTACGCCACTACCTGTAACAACTTATACGCCGCATTACAGGGTTTCATCTAGCTAACTTTATTGCCTTCCAACTTTATGCCGCACCTAATATTATCAAAATAAGAAAAAAGCTGTGAAATAATGATTGAGTTTTTCAGTGACATAAAAAAGGTGCAAAGTCGTATTCAAATGAAAAAAATATCGTTACAGCCTGGTTTTTACTTTCAAATGCAAAGAATCCAAGCCATTCGCCAGTGAGAACGGTGTTCTTAAAGAAGAAAACGGGGCAACCAAAGCTATGCTATTTCAACAGCTTTCAGGACTACTGGTCGTAAGTAAACACAACTGGTCGCAAGTGAACACAACTTTTGAAATATTCCATGAGAAAAGGAAAGCTGTTAACAAAAAAGAGGAATGAAGAAAAAAAAGGGAAAAAAAGAAAGAGTAAATTTGAGCACTTCTTGCTCAACCGGCACTGCGAAAAACACTGATTGCTACTGTCGTGCATGGAACTGGAGCTAAAGTGAGAGGAGAAAACTTTGTCAAAAAAGATTGTCGACTATCATTTCTGTTAGAACCTAATCGTGCGATGCTGAGATCTACTCAATTACTTAAGTTTAATCCATTAAATTTCATCATACTCAGCTTAACCGTCTTCCAGTGCCATTACCGTTACGAAAACATATAAATGTGAGGAAGTGCCTTAAAGTGCAGAAGACCCCAGGAGACAAGTTGCAAAATTAGGTTGCCTCAATATTTCACGCTGACGGGTGAACTTACTAACGCTTTGAGCAGCATTGGAGAATGTTCGCTATGAATTATGATAGACATTTATTGCAGGATCTCCTAAAATTACTGGAAACGACAACAAAGTTTCAATTTTCTTTATACAAATTATTGCCTCTCCAGTAGCCGCTGCAACAGCCTCCATTGGCCGGCAAACAAACTTATCATTTTTATCATTTTATCATTTCGCAACTCATTTTCTTACATTAATCAATATTCAGGAGGAATACAAATGAAATAATCGCTTTCTAGACTATCAGTTCCAGAATCTTTCTGGTTAAACGGTTTCTAGTGGCAAAAAAATAACTTCACGGCTATTTGTGATTGCACGAAAAATGGAAGCAATAATATTCAAATACTTACTGACTTTTCGTCCAGCCGCAGCAGCCTTTTCTCCAATTTCAGATTTTATTTTTCCAGCTCCGTCCCCTAAATAAAACGTTTCTTCCAAGCAGTTCAATTCACAGAACGAATAGATAACCGTAAAGCATACACTGTAATCTAAAATGATCACTAGGCTGTGGAAGAAGTTCCTTCCCTTCAACCTTTGTTCATCAATCTAGTTTAGAAGGCTAGCTCAGATGTAGGCTTCTCGTTAACACCCTATCTGTACTGCTTACCGCCAAGTCCCAGATGTATCAAAGAACTATCAGCATTAAAAACTTAATGGCTATGTAAATACAGAAACAAATGACAAAGCTATGACAAAACCAATATTCGTTTTTGAATCAAGCAAATTTAATCGAATAATTTTTTTTTGGAAATCTTAATAGTTGAAAACCCCCTATTTCTAACGATCTTTGCAGCGATAAGCCGCCGTGGTAGCAGCAAATGCGTTTTAGAAAAACCATAGTTTTGCAGAAAGATGATTTTTCTAACACCGTCGGTTTTGTTTTCGCTACACCACGCAACAATCTGTTTATGGAACTATCGCGAACAGTGACGTCATGTCGTTTGGACGTTTTAAATATCCCAATCACTCGTTTCATAAATGACCACTCCAAAATAATTTTTGGACTGGTTAACCCTGACTTCTTTGTCATTTCACAAGTTTTCAGCATAAAAATACACTAGGCGTCGCTAAATTAGTGTTAATTAGATTAATGATGTCTATGTAATTTCTTTTTCAAAAAAGACTTACTTAAGGCATGAATCCCACTAGCGGCTGAGTCGATACCAGATTTCAATACTTCAGCAGCTTGATCCTCGATTCGCCAAGACGGTTCCGGACGAGGATCAGCAACGTTACCACCAATTACTGTTACTGTAAATTATCAATAAACCACTCTTCCTATTGCTCATTTGAAAACAACTGACTACTTTAAATATTTACCTACAATTTCTTTAGAAAAAAAAACCGTTACTCATTCCATCTTAAAATAAAAGTTGCTTATTTTACGCAGATAAACAGATTTACCTGGTGTAACATTTATAACACTGATGACCAATAGAAGACAGGAAATCAGGCTTGGCAACATAATTCAACTAAACAGAACAAGAATCGATAACTGTGATACGATTACAAATGAATTAAGGTTTTAGTTTTCCTCTCAAGTAAAATGGTTTATGGACTAAAAGAAAAAAAAATTATCATTATCGAGCACTTGCACAGATTCCAGTACGGGCTGTCTCACTTCATTTAATCAATCTTACATTCAATTTCAGAAAAGCTACAAAGCCTAACCAAAAACTCAATTCTGGATATTAACAAAACGTTCAAGAGATTAAGCTTAAAACTGAAAAAAAAAATGAAAAAGGGAATGAAATTGCGGTCACACTTTCACGACAATTATCGAATAGATAAACGCAACAATACACTAACAGTTAGACAGTTATTAACAAATTCTCGCCACTTTTAAATGCAAAACACGTGTGCTTGAAAACGCAAAAAAAATTCTCTAAACAGTCAACTGACAGAACTGACTTTTCATTCTCTAATACCATTCTCTTTGACAGTTTATGCTAAATTTTAAAAAAAATTTTTTTTTTCTCGATAATTTATAAAGTGGACACTTTAAACAGCGTTACTGTAGCGGTCTATTAAAAAACTAACAATTCCCAAACAGAACTTCTTATCGATAAAACATGTTTAACAAAAACAAATCAGTTTTCTCCAAAAACTGTAAAAATTTAAAAAGGAAAGAAACAAGAGACCTAAAAAAAGCAGGTTATCACATACGTTTGGAATTTTTGACACTGAAGCACTTCTTACATAGTTCTTCTTGCAAAAGAAATAAAATTTTGAAGACAAAAATGCCCCCACGATGGATGAAAAACTTAGTTGGTCAAAAGATCCAAGAAAATTTGGAAGCTCAGTTGAAGAACTGATCTAATTGTGCTGTTGCTGTACATCAACAGCCTACACTAATGCACAACAGGTTTTCTCTCATGTCAGAGTAAACTGTTTCAAAGAAAAAACTTGAGCTGTTTGATGGAATGGAACAGAGAGGGAATAAGGTGGAGGTGTAACGGTATGGTGATGCCAGCAGCGATGTGTTTATACCGGTGTTAAACACATAAGAGTTCCTAAATTTTTTTTTTTGCTATCTTTCAAAAACAAGACGTATTGCAAGTGGAGTAAATATATTTGATGATCGATACTCTTCTCCGGCAATAACAGGTTGTTTGTTACAGCTTTGTTATTGTTATTTTTGTTGTTTTCCTAACTATATTTTCCAGCAACATTAACAATAAATTGTTCAAAAACCATCGTCACTATCCCGCCATGGATTCACCACACATTTTTCTTTAAACACTGTTGAAAAACCAATTTTATTTTTTCAATTTCCTACTTGTATATAATGACATTAAAATGCAATAAAACAATATAATAAAGCAACTTAAAGTGGTAGGAATAAGTGAAGGAAAAATAGCGTACAGACCGAACTGGAATAGCACATGAAATAAAAGATGAATGACGATTTACAGAAAGACTGTGCTTAAATAGTGTCTGTAGAATTCAACAGAAGGCATTGAAAAAGGTGAAGAAAAATTTGGTGGTAGAGGTGATAATACTAGAATGATTATGACCAGGGAAAGTACTTTTGATGTTAAAATAGAATACTGATTTAAAGACAAGGTGTGAAAGTTTTTTGAGCTAAGAAGTAATTAGGAGTAAAAATACCTTGATTGGGAGGAGACTGGAAGTGAGAAACCAAAAAAGAATATATGGTGAGAAGTGACTGGTTGTGAGGAACAGATATCAAGCCTAAGGGAATGAACTAAATAAATGAGGACGAAACACAAATTTCACTGTTTAGCTGTTTTACAAATAGAAAAAATTGATTACCTTTTCAGTATAATAAACCTAATACCGTAGCATCTGTCTTGAATGCTCTATAGTACGGTGGTGATACCATTTGTAGTTTTAGCAGCGAAAGGTTTATTTATAAAAAAAACCGCAGAAGTACTTAAAGTGTTTTCAATAAAATAAAAATTTATCTAAAACTCATTTGCACAAGAACACATTATTAAAGCTTATTAAAAAAATTAAGCTTTGCACAGAAAAAACAAAATCTGAGGCGAAGGATAACGAGGTACGGCAAAAGATTGAAAAAGTGGTAGTGAACTATTTCGAAATTGTGGAATAACATCGTGTACTGGGTGGTCAAGTAATAATCTTCGTGGACAGTATAAAAGAGGCTTTAGAACTTCCCTGTGCTAATACTGCTACGATTTTACTTCTTGAAAAAAGCGAATCATCGACGTAGGTTGTACTAGACCTTTTGAGAACTACTGGTGGAAAGCCGGGCTAGTAGTTTGGGCTAGTTTAACAGAACCTAATTAATATTCATTTTTGTAGACGTGGGCAGAGGTGAATAAATGAGGTCGGCGGGGTTTGGGCGGTCGAGTAACATGGATACCGGTACCTCTGAAATGTCATTTATTAGACCTCAATTTTTCGCTGTGGATGTTTTTGGTCTATTGAAGTGAATTAATAAATTTTTCTATTTTGGTTCCTTTTTATTGCTAAATCACTTTTTTATTGCCAGTATCAGTGAAGCAAATAGAGTTTACTGCCGGCAATGGAACAGGCTGAAGCAGGCATGGCGATCTAAGTGCAGCGTTTACAGACCTACAAGATTCCTTAGTTTCCTTAAGGTTACATTGTATTGCTGTCACATGATTTCAAAGCAACCTTAAATGGTTTAATAGGTACTCAGTAATTATTTCAACTCAGTATGAATAGTTGAACATACCAAAAAAGTTGCAGTTGCATCGAAAAACGAAAAACACGCACAAACACCACTAAATTTCAAAATTTTTTGGTAAAGGGAAAGAAGAATTAAAAAATGCGGTAATTCTAGCCTTACTAATCTTGCTCAATCATTCTAAAGCATGAAACACGAACATTTACAGACAGTATTAGGCGGAGTTGTGACTTGAAATTGGAAGATAGCAGTTATAATTGAATTTAATAACTGTTCTTAGCAGTGAAAATATTCTATATCTATCTTGTGTATAACGTCAAGAAAATTTTATTCTATATTTGAACAGCTTTGTTCGCTTAATTTTTTTTTTGTAAAATACCCGTACTTGAGGTGTTAGTAACTGTCATAAAGCAAAGTGTGCGATGTACGAAATGTTACTGGTGCAGTTTAGTTATGCTAATTGTTCGAGTAATTTTTGATTCTTAAACAGCGGTATTTTTGGTTTTTTTGTATTTCTTTATCTACTAAATATACAAGTTCACAAAAAAAACTAATTATTTTCAGAGATGATTGGTCAAATGCTTTCCTTTTTTGATAAAAAGAAAAAGATGAAATTTTTTGAACAAAAAACTATGGAAAATGAATTTGTTCTCCTTCATTTTAAACGAATTAAAAAACAGCAATTTGTGATGTGCCTTTTTTTCTTCAAACTAAAATATAGGTGGAAGTAACGGTGTTGATAATTTGTTTATTCGTTTCTAGGCCATCCAAAATTTAATGGATTAGATATCTGATGAGTTTTGTGGCACTGTCAAAAAAGAGGAAGAAGGTGAAAAACCGCTGTTTAAATATTTGATTCAAAATTTTAGGCAGGATGTGTTAGGTAGACTACCAATTAATTGGAAAAGGTTCTTTTTTCTATCAGTTAGTCTTCTTAATTGATAACGACTGCTATTTTTTATACGTGTAAATTTAGATATTTCAATGCGTGACTGTTCCCTGTAAAGTGCGCACAACGGCACCGGTTTTTTTCGTAGCACTACTACTTTGACAGCTATGATAATAAGTCGAAATAGGCCGTCTTTGCCGTTTCGAAATAATTTGGAACTTTTTCCTCTCTTAGTGTGTTACAAAATTTCAAAACCTTATTGTTTCAGATGGTTAGTTTGGTTGCTGTTGTTGATGATGTTGGGTTTGTTCTATGTATGTTGTGTGGTTTATAGAACTGAAGTGCGATGCGCACATCACCATTATTTTTTATTTTTTATTTTTTTTTTTTACGTCTGTTATTTCCTACTCCTTATTGGCCGTGAAGTCATTGACGGTGATTCATTTAAACTGCCAAAGGTGCATAACAATGTTCTGATCTTTATTGTACATTTTTCGATAGTATTTGCTTGCAGCCACTATCGTTGCTGTTGTTGTTGTCAAGTTTGGTGAATAGTTTGAAATTTTTTCTTGTTTAGCTGTTTTTTCTTCTGTATATAGTTTGAAAATTTTCCATCATTTGATCTTTTCTGTACAATTTCCGATTACTTTCCAGTTTCTGTGAACATTTCATAGAAATTCGCCTGTAGCAAAACGGGTAGCATTTTTAATGGAAATCTCATTGTATGCCAAGAAAAAAGTAATTGAGAGTAACAGATTAAAACAAGGAAAAGAAATGATATATTGCTTATAATTATTGGAATACGTAAAAACGGTATTACTGGAAAAATGATGGCTTTGAAGGCACGTTTGATGCTGGATTTTAATGCCGAAAAGGTTGATTGTTTCTGGCCTGCTAACTATAAGTCAGTTTGCTTTGTATTGGAAGTTACTAGTCGCTTGATGACATCAGCATTTTATTCCAATAGCTATCTTCTGTAGAGCTACGTATGTTGATTTCTCTACTTCTTGTTGAAAATGCTAATTTTCGGTTTCTAGATAGACGGAATGGAAGGGTTGTCTACTCAAAGCCAGCGACAGTTTTGCGGTCCTGAATTGGAAGATGAAGACGATGGCGATGATTTTGAGGTTCATTTCTGACACTGACGCTTTTTTTATGTAACAAGTAAAGGAATTCGCTTCCGTCATCTCTGTTCTGTTTTCTTATACATCGGATACTTTTATGCTGACAGTGAGGCTTAATTTTTGGCGAATAGTTTATATATAATTTAGGTTATCGGTATGCATGAATCAGGTTCGGACATCGACACGAAGGAATCTCCCGCTTGTCTTGATTTGGTGAGTATCATTAATTTTGTGTTTCATTATTATCATTATTATCATTTTTTTTTCTTTGGTGAACTAAAAACTGTTTTTACCATTCTTAGGCTTTCCCGATGAAATGAATGCTTGTGTTAAATATTATCGATTTAGATTAGTTTATGAATTGTAAAGTTTATTTTTTGAACTGAAGAAGAAACTTCAAATGTTCGTCATCACTTTTCCTAACACCATTATAGTCCCTCTGCTTTTCAGAAGTAGTGATTTGTTTTCGTGAGGAGTTGTTTTTAAAAAACGGCTTCGGTTTTTTTTTTTTTTGCACTGTATTATAATTAAGTCATCTTGCTGATATTGAAATTTATCTTTTATTTAGTCCAAGGAAGCTGTGAATAATATGCAAACAGAGGTGCCTTCTGAAGAGGGAGTTTCTAGTTTGTTGCGCTCATTTTCTCTCATTCAATCGTCTGACTCCCACTTACTGTCAGAATCTGGTTTGTCAAATTAATTTTTCTTTGATATTGGTAACTATAGCATAAGTAGTAGAGGTTTCACATGTTAGCTTTACTTGTCCATCAGCATTTTCCTTTTATGAACTAGTTTTGTTTACTATTGGGTAGTTTCATCAATTTTGACTGGATTTAGCCACTTTTTTATTCTACAACTTCTATTCGATTTGGCCAGTTCAAATCGATTCCCTCATTTGTTTAGTGAAGCTTTAGGGATTGAAAATGGTGAAATACGTTCTTGAATTCATATTTTGTGGCTCTCAATTTCAGGAAATGTCCGGGGCAGAAAAGTCACCAATTTTTAGCAGCCTCATTCTAATAGAAATAGTTATTAAAAGTTAAGTTGAGTATGACTGCAGACTTTGCTTGGTTAAGTGCAGTGTGTAAGATTTCACTAAGAAGTCGGCTAACTAATTCAATGAATATAAGAATATTTCATACTTTTCCAGATAGACTGTGGAAGCAGTAAAAAGCGCTTATACATTTTTAGCGGATCACTTGGGAAGTCAGTTTTTTGAATCAATTTTTTTCTAAAAAACTTGGGAGAGGAAAGCGTTTTATGAGGAATTTGTTAGTTCTGAAGGAAAAAAGGCGGGCGGAGGATCTATTCTTTACTTTTGTCACTCATCAAAGTTTCGTTGTATACAGATCCAGCTGTAACGAAACATAGATACGTAGGTACCCTTTGCAGGTATAAACTCATCTTCGAAAAGAGGAAAGAATTGTATTTAGAGGTGAAAAAAAAAAGACATTTACTCATTTTTAGTCCGTTTCACTTTATTCAGGTTTTTCCTGGAGAGTAGTGTAGAAGTTTGGCTTAGTAAATTCTTCTCTGTTAGGGACTGTAGCCTCCTGATTTTGTTATAAAGTATAATTTACTTGAACTATTGAGATATTTTTTAAAAGAATTACGTTGTTGTAAGAATAAGCCTTGTAGTTTAACCAAAAAATCTGTAGTCCCTTTGAGGGTGAAAAACATGATAGATGTGACTCGTTAGGAAGCTGAAAGAAGCGGAAACAACGGGATGCAGCAGGTATTTTTGTGCATATGGTTAGGAAGATTGCTGCTGACGTTGTTCTCTTTAAGTACTAGAACCTCGGGCGAGACCTTCGTATGCTACTAGTAGTATGGAATTGTACTGCCTTTAAGCAGTATGTTGTTGTGATTTGCGTTTGGTTAGGGTAAAGTTTATTGCCTTCACAACCACCAGTCACATTTTGTGAATAAACAGATTGTTTCCGGAGAGATCAGACTCATACGCGTTATTGGTGAGAGTTGTTACTCTTGTGTTACAGATTTTGCTTAGTTGGAAGTAATTCACTCAAGACGAAAGACTTTCTAAGTAAGGTTGATTGTACATTTTTTCTTCCAAGCTCATGTTCTGTGACTTTAAGGTGTTATTAGTTTGGAGGGTAATGTTCGCCAGAAGGAAGCGGATGCTAACGAACTGATCAGAAGGGGTACAAATGAGAGGAAGGAGGACGCAAATGAAGCACACAAAGAGCCGGATTCACAAGTTGCATTGGTAAGAGTACTTTATGACACGCAAACATCTCCTTTTGAGCCGTAATTTATCATTGGTACATAAAAAAACTGGATTCTACTGAAACATGTAGCGCTTTATTTATAAGTCACGTCTTTAGAGGAATTTCAAGAAGCTTTTTTAATTACCTGTAGCAGAATTGACCGCCAGAGTTTCACGAGCTTTAGCGAATATTTAACCATCTTTTCTTCAAGGATGATCTAAAAAACCAGCTTGAAGAAGCTCATAAGTCGAACCCAAGCTCTTCAGACGAATTGGTTATTCAGGGTCAGAAATTGCAGCCGATCTTGGATGAAGTAGGTACTTAATTACGACAAAACACCAGTTCCAGAAATCTTAATTTTAACACTATGAGGAATTTTTGAAAATTTGCCACGGTATAACTTGTATGCTATTGCATTCCCTCCAATTTTTTACTCCCCATCAAAATTAAAAGAAATTTTTCGCTTCCAGGTTCTGTTTCACTTACTTTGAACATTCTAAAACGCAGTCATTTTTTTCATTACCCTTATAAGTATATGCCTGTAGGGATAGCAATTTTAAGCTCGAATTGCAGCAGAGAGAAGCTAGTGCGCTGATTTGCAGCCAAAGAAAATTAGGTTTCATAAAGAGCCGTCCGAGAACGGAACAGAAAAAAAAGAGTTTCAGGAAAAATTAAATACCTCTACTGGGCAAACATTTAGCATTAAAATCCATTATGGATATCTAATGCAAAAGAATTCCTTATTGTATGCTAGAAACTGTTTTTTTGTAATTATTATCTGCTTGTCAGCTTGCTCCTGTATTATAAAAGAAATGATTATTTCTTGAGTTCCTCAAAATCTTCTTTAGATATTCTCTTCAGTTAGTTTGTTGTATAGAATTCGTTGTAACTGACTTCTTATATTGCTTTCTGAATAGTGTTAAGAAATATGTTACTATATGTGTCAGAAAGTGCTTTCGTGGAAGGGTTTAGTATAAGACGGCAATTCAGGTTGTTAGTAATTACAAACTGACGTTTCCGAAAACAAAGAAGTGTTCTCTTTAAAATTTTGCTCTCGGAAAAAGTTAAAAGACTTCCTTAACAGTCTCTAGTTAATTTGAATGCTAAGGCGTGACAGATTTAATAAGGGTGTTTATCAATTTTTTTCCAGGATGGCGATTTCAAACAGCATTTGGAAGAGGCGCACAAGCTCAACGCCGAGTTTGCGCAGAGGCTGCTTTTGAGCGACAACGAGCTGCGACGGATCTCCGATGAAGTAGGAAATATGCTACAGTAAAACATTTATTTTGCTTTGTGTGTTTCCTTTCTGAAAAAATTTTGTCAGACTTTTAATCTATATAATTTTTTTGTTCTAAGGCCACTTTAGTTGTTTCCTTGGTTTTTCAAGGGTGAAGAATTAGGAAGCCGTCAAAGGCGCTCATGTATCTAGCGGTAAAGTTCTACTGGAGGTCAACTGAACTGAAGAATGCGATAGTAGACTGAGCTATTTTCATATATTTTTGAGTTTCTCAAAATCTTCTTTAGATTTTCTCTTCAGCTATTCTGTTATATAGGATTCAATGTAACTGAGTTTTTAAAGTTTTTTTGAAAAGTGCTGAGTAGTATTGTATTATTTGTACCTTTCTGAAACGCTTTAGCCTAAAACAGCGGTCCTGAATGTTAGTATTTATTAACTAACGTCTGTTAAAACGGGGTAGTATTCTTTTTGTCAGTTTCGTTTTTGGAAAAAGTTTATGAGGCTTTATTGACGGAATCTGGTTGATTTCTACACTACGAGATAGGAGTTTTGATGAGATAGTTAATCAGTTTTTTTTTGAAAGTGGTGATTTTAAAGAACAAATGAAAGAGGCGGAAAGGTTAAGCATGGGCTCCAGGAGCTGTGACAGACTTTTGACGAACTAGGACTAGATAGTATTGGTTTCATTACATCCAGAAACTTGATTTTTCAAGAATTATGCGCCTGCGTAATTGCTTTAGTAAGCCCTCAGAAACTTTACTTGCTTTACTTGTTCCACTTCTGAAGAAACATTGAAAGCTGTAGCAGCTGTTTTATATGCTTCTAAAGAACAAAGAGTGAAAAACGACTGAAAAGGCGGACAATTGTAATGGTAAAGTTCTGCTGGAGATTCATTAATTTCAAGGGTGCGATAACGCACCAGACTGTTTTTTATGGTTTTTGGATTACCTGCTCACTATCTTTACCTTTATTTTTGACTTCAAGCAAAAGGTTGTGTGATAAACTTTGTAAAAAGTGGCAGGGAAAGAAATTATATGAACCGTATATAGGGTAGTTGAGCAGTGACTCATTGCTGCTACATGGTGGCTAAAATAGGTTGAATTGCCAATAAGTTTAGTTAAATGTTACGATTTCTCGTATTTGTGGGAACTTCGTTTGTTAGACATAGGTCTTGCTTTGTGTTGTAGGCGAAGGACCACTTTTTCCTGCTTGTATGCTCTTTAGTTAAAGGGTACTGGTGATTTGCTTCTTTAGGGTTTTTATATTAAGGCTTTCTTTTCAAGTTTTTTGCCTCTCAAAAATTGGCAGAGGTGTTTTGTTTGTGAGTTTTGTTTAGCTTGCTTCGCCATTTCCTTTTGTGAGCCTTGTTAATATCTTCTTTTAAGGTTAATGGTTTGAAACTTGAGCTGCACCAGAAAGAGCTGAGCATTCGTGAGTTGAAATCAGAGAAGAATAAAGATGATTGCGAACTGCGCCAGAGCGAAGAAGAAAGAAGAAAGTTGGAGCAAAAATTAAATATTCTTACTGAGCAGGTATATAGCATTTATAATGCGTACGGGTGTCTAATGCAAAATATTCCTTTTTTAGCATGTTTTCTTCTTAATCGTAATATGCCTATGAGCCTGCACTTTTTTTATGATAAGGTTTATGAAAAGATTTAGATAAAATCTCCAGCTTGTTCATCGTATAGGAGTCGTTTAAATTGAGCTAGTACGTTTTTTTTTGAGCCGCGATGGGACATTTGAGCCATTTCATTATTTTTTCCAATTAAATGCTTTTTGTCAGGCTGTGTTTTATGCTCTCAGTAGTTATGAACTAATGGCTCCGAGATTATGCTATCTTTATAATTATGTTTCGGTGGCAAGTTAAGCATAGTTTTTTTTCTAATTTTCGATGGTTCGGAACGCTAAGGTCTAACAGATCTGGTAAGACAGTTAATGAATCGTTTGAAAGTTGATGTGGAAAAATCAGTGTGATTCGGAAAAACGGCTAAAAGATGCGAATAAATTGTGCACAAGGCTGTTGGCGAAACTGCTTTTGAAGGAGGAGAAATAAAGCAGGCCCGTGGGGAGATAGGTACTGGGATGCTTTGAAACACATGTATTAAAAGTATTGTTTAAGTGCTCAGCAAGATTTGTTTTTGAGAGGTTTCTACCTCAGGTGGTTTTAGGAGGAACTGCTTGGAGCTGTACATGTCTTATTTTCTGGTTTTTAGTAAGAATTTATCAAGCTTTTTAATGGTTTAAAAGTAAGAAATTTGAAAATTTAAGAGGTGCAGCGTGTTTTCAGCGAGCAGTTTTAACTGCTGCAAAACTGCTTTTGTGGTCTTTTTCAGTGCCTTTTTGTGTGGGACCGTTCGTGTTATTTGAGATATATAAAAATCCGTTATTTTTGATATATAAAAATCCATTTTCATAAACTTTTGAAAAATTTTCATGTTTTTTATTTAAATTAGCCGTTTTTTCTGTACTTTTATTGAATGAAGTTTACGTCATTTTCCAAACAGTAGTTTGTTTCTTCTCTTCTGTTTTTAAACATTTGAATGGTTTCTTGATGGGTCAATTTTTATGTTGGTCTTTGTCCTATTAGTTTCTTAGTTTGAGGTGTGGAAATCTTGTCTTTACGAAAGTTTTACCGGGAATTCTGATGTTCTATTTTTCCTAAACATACTAAACACAATGTTTTTAGCTCATCAATGCGCCAGATGCTAATACGGAACTTCTGAAGCGAGATTTAGGATTGCTGAAGTAATGTTTGAATAGTTTAAGGCATTGCAGTGTAGTTTTTGTTTAGTTTGCTTGAATTTTTTGGAAGTTGCTAATTATTTTTCACATTTCATTAATTATTGTATGCCTTTGTGAGTCATTAGCTCTATTATTGGTTATACTTGTAACAATGCTTGTTATTTTTTAGTTCTTGTGATGGCGTAATACTTGTTGAATAATAAAAATTTTTAGGGAAAGAGATAGACAGATTTTGGAAGGTTTTGCAAATATGTACGACAGCTGCCCAACCGTTCTGGAAATGTATAAACTTGGACGTCTTCAAGAAGGAGGAGCGCGTGATGTTTGTGTTATTCTGCTGGATTATTAATATTGTTGGAAGTGACTTTGGACTTGGTTTCAGTTTGTTTTTCCTGTGGTTTGTTATCCAGCTTTCAATCAGACTTTTTTAAGCTTTACTGCGAATGCGAAAAGGTGTGGGAGATAGTGAAGAATCAAAGTGAGGAGTTAAAAATTTTGAAGGAAACTCATTTGAAGGACCAAACTGCGGTAATTTTTTGTATATGTTAAATAGGATTTTTTTATATCGTATGAAAGACAGCCACATCAATTTGTTTAGAAATGGTATTTTGATTTGCTTTCTTTTGTGTATAGTTGTTCTTACTGTTTGTTTGTTGTGAGGGGGCAAAATTAAAGGTTTTTACTCGGACTCGGTCTTATACAGCTTTTTTGTTGCATCAGACGTCGTGAATGAGGTTTTAAACACGGCAGCCGGTACCGGTGCTGACATTGTTTTTTTTAAGCAGTAGTTTTTTTTTTTTTCAGAATATATTTTTAGGCATTCAGACGAGAAATTCAATTTCTTCCTCCAACGTCATACTTTTTGCTATTATTTTTTGTTAACTTTTCCGAAGCTCGGGAGATTTGGAAGCTTCTTTTTATTAAATTTTCACAGAAGCCTTTGAGTTACCAACATTGTGAACGTCTTGAATATGAAATTTTAGATTAGAATGTTGAAATTTCAGCTGACGGAGGAACGGGACAGGAACGAATTATTAAGTCAGAAGATAAATTCATTGCAGTGCGAGTTGAACAATTTAAGGTATTGCAGTACCTTGTTAAGTCTTTTACAAATGGTTTGGAGTCTGGTATAACTGCTATAGTTAGTTTTTTTAGAGTGACTAAATCGGCTAATTTTTAACTTCACTATTCTTGTAACCAAGTAACATTTTTAAGTAGTAATGATATTCAGAGAAAGAGATAAACAAATTTTGGAAGGTTTTGCGAACATGTACGATAGCTACTCATTCGAAGCCGTAATGTGTGATCTCGAATGTGCCCAAGAAACAGGAGATTCTGATGTTTGTTTAATTCTGTTACATTACTGATAATATTGCTTGTAACTTTGGATTTAGTTTTAACTTTTTTCATCCCGATTTTGAATTGAATTTAGCACATTTTTTTAGAAACTCTACTATGAGTGTGAGAAGGCGAGGAAAATATTAATAAGGCAAAATGAGTACTTGAAACTTCCTACCTCTGCTGCTGCTGCTGAAACTATAGTGAGTTTGTAAATATTGGGTTTTTTCTGTACTTTATTTAAAAGGCTCAACTTTTAATTTGTTTGAGGAAAAACGGTTAGGTTTTCCTATTTTAGGTAACGTTTTCTTTTACTTTTTTTTCTTTGTTGACCAAACGCAAATTTTTACGGAAATGCATATTAATATATGGATAGGAACAGGGCATTGTCAGAAGATTTGTTTGTTTTTTGTGATTTGTCTATTTAGTGCAAATATTTTTGTTTTTTTTTTATTCTAATTTGAAATTTTTTATAAGTTATATTATTTTTTCCTATTATTTCTTTTGCCTAGCAGCATTTTATAAATATCAGTTTAAATTTCAAGTAATCTTTTGCTAGCGATTCTCTTTTAACAATGTTTCTAGAGCAAGCTTCATTTTATCTCTGTTACTGGCGTGGCAGTCTAACGTAAATTGCTAGAGCGGAAATAAATAAGTGTTCCTCTTTATTATGCCTCTTGCGTTGTACAATGCGTAAAGTGTTAAGTGTTCTTAGTGTTAAGTGTTCTTCTTTATTATGCCTCTTGCGTTGTACAATGCGTATTTTCAGAGGCTGGAGAATGAAGTTATAGAACTGCAGAGGAAGTGCCAAAAAGCTGACGAAGAGCATAAAAGTCAAGAATTTATTATTCAGGTAAGTTTGAGTACAAAGTATTAATATTTCTGCCGAGTGAAACGGGTATTTTGAACACAGTTTTTGTTTTGCA